TGAACAAGCTGGCGTGACCACACAAGTATCACAAGGACTGCTGTAATCCACATTTGGTCCCTCAGCTGCTCGTACCACTAGCCTGCAGAGTGGTAGCCTATAGATGCCTGTATCGCCCAATGTATCATATGTGCTTCCTTGTCACACGCGTGAAACGTATAGCCTGGCATTTTGCAAACAGGCATTTTGCGTTCGAACCGCTCACAAATAGCACAGTTGTGACGTCGCGCGTTTGTGTCGCATCATAAGCACCTGCTGTTTTCTGTAGTGGTTCCTTTGTGAAGCGATACTTATCTTCATGCGGATCGTGTATCATACGGTAGACACTGCCAAAATCAGAGGTGTTGCGATGCTGTAAAGCGTGGATCAAAACAGAATCACCATCTGTGTTCTGCACAGTCGCCATTTTCTTCGAATGTCATAATCAAACCTTACGCTCCCAAGGTTTGCAGTCAGACTTGTGCATGTTCCATATATGTGCATGTACTTCCTTCAAAAATGTAAGTGGTATCAGTGACAGCTGCCCTAAAAAACTAATTGATTAAATGAAAAGTGAAATGAACTGAATCATGTGGACACACAGCGACACTCTAACACATGCTCTGGGAGTGTAGAACAACTCCTCCCGACTCTACCTCAAGCAAGTGGGAGAGGTCCCTCAGGAGCTCACTTCTCGCCGACCAGCAATGGGCCGTGCAGCAGGCCCACGAAGCGGCCGCCAGGTACTCCCTGTCGGTCCCAACGTGGGAGACGCCCGCTACGCGCTAAGCGCGTCCTGCAGGACTGAAATAAAGTTTTTTCATTCCATTAAATGAAAAGTAACATTAATCATGTGTTACTTTTATCGCGACTTCTATCAACGCTGTACAAGTGGGCCGAACTGTCTGGTTATTTCAATGCGTGTTCTGTAACCCTTCACACCTTACTTATATACACTATGTATCGATTACTTTTCCTCGCTCATCTGCCCCCGTTTCTCTGCTTCAGCAGTGACGATGAAAACTCTCTAGATGCGCGCGCATGCAGGTGAGAAGGGCATTTTTTGTAACGTATATATAAGCTTCCGCTCCACAATGTGGTTGCCTTAATTGCATTCATGCTCACATTCCGGCCCTCTACGACGTGCAGCGCTTTAGCGTTGCTAGGGCAAGGTCAACTGGCCATCACTGTTACTTAGTTAACGTTTGGTACGTGGAACATTAGACAAGCATAGTGCGCATCAATTTGAAAGCACGAACATGCGCAGCCGAAAGGTGACGTCATGGCATGACTATACGCACATATTTCTGTAGCTCTCGCCAAATTCGAGTCACGTTGCTGGTTATAAATGCATAATAATATAATTTCCTGTAATATTCTGCATTCATTCTTTTGCTAGTTGATTTGTGGTATTGTTTTGATTTTTTTTCCTTCACTTTCTGAAATTACATTGTGCAATGCATTAGCATTGTTTTACTACCACGATCAATGGTGTGATTTTTGTATAACCGCGAACGACCATATATCTGTGACAACTCCTTCTGTAATGTCTTTTTGGCCCCGAGAATAAAAAAAAAATATCTGGTAGTCTATGAAATAATTGAATCAATGAGTGTCACCAAGAGAATAAAGTAATAAATAAGTAGCTAACCCAGGAAATGTCTAATTCATTATATAACAGTTCATTTAAATAAACAAGCGAGTCGGATGTGGTAGTTACGTATTATTTTCGTGTGGACAAATGCAATAAATTTCGGCAAACATTACTTTCATTACTCTGGATGCTACATGACTTCTCTCGTTATTCGAAGCTAGTAATACTATAATTAAATTAACATCGCCAAAAAAGGTCTCAATAAAATGGATTTTGTTTTAATGGTATTATCTGGAAGATAAAGGCATATACCCTTTTCATAAAGCTTTTCTTAGGCGGAGTTATTTACTCCTAGTACATTGTAATTCAATGAATAAGCAGCTGCTGTCAGCTTATATGGCAGACCTTGACTTATTCGCAATAATAGCTAAGTCGTTTATGTCAAATAGCAGAGGTCTCAGTATGCTTCCTTGGGCGGCGTCATCGTTCAAATGACGCCCACTGATGTCACACACTGTATACAACACGCTGTGCCCTCGGAGTTGGGCCTCGAAACCTGTAGAGGTTTAGTTTGTTAGTGACATAGATGAGAATATTTCTTCGAATGTTTCAAAAGATCATCTGCACTCAAAAATGTGAGAAAGTGGCTAAAATTTCATTCCCGTGGGCACGCGTAGATCAATACGAGATCTTGCACGTACAGGGGGGTGGGGGGGGGGGGGGGGTCAAAAGTTTTTAGGTCACTATTCTATGTATTCTGGGAGCGTGGCCTGGGAACATCAAAGGCGCACGTCAAAGAACCCTACGAGGTCGTCTCTTGCAATCATACCGTGGTTCTGGGACGTAAAACTCTAGAAATTATTTACATGTAATGATGACATCACGATAATTACATCACGTCCCCGTGTCTGCGAAAATTTGTAATAGCCATGTGCACGTAATTTTGCGTCCTGGCACAAAATGACGCTCAAACTGTAGCTTGTATAGAGTTTTTTTCTACGAGTGCTTTCTCCTCGATTAGCGTTAGGACAATGTTGGCACAATTACACGTTGCGGCATGCGCTTCCGCCCGTTGTTTTTCCGCGTTGGACGAGTTTCGAGAAATGCGGTAACCCGACTCGGAGCGTTCTGTTTATTTCCCCCGAGGAGGAGCTGTAGCATTACCTCCTTACCCCTTCGGTATTCAAAACAGCGGCTAGGCCCCTGTCGGCTTTGGTGCCATACATCCAGCGAAGTTGGAATTTTTTCTTGTGTCATTTATCAGCGCTCGCTACTCTCTTGTACGTTGTCCGCCGCGGTGGATTAGCGGCTGTGGTGCTCTGCTACTGACTTGAAGGTCGCGGGTTCGATTCCAAACGTGACAGTCACCTGTCGATGTAGGCAAAATGGTTTACCCTCCACTGTGGCGTCTCTCATAATCATAACGTGGTTTTTGGGATGTTAAACCCCAGATGCCAGATACTATATTGTTACGTTTTTGTACTTTTTACGAGCGGATTGTGATCCGGATTTCATCTAGTATTGTTGAAACATCATCATCATCATCAGCCTGACTACGTCCACTGCAGGACAAAGGCCTTCCACATGCATACGTCAATTGTTGAAGCATACATGAGCGCAAATGTAAATATCGAGGTTTTGCATCGTAAACAGTGATCACAATAAAGAAGGAAGTCGAAAATGAACACTTGGGCGCGACCGCACGCTACCTGTGACTTATCTTATTAATTAAACATGTATTCTCATCTGTTAGCCAGTTCGTGTGAAGAAAGGCAGTTTAGCCGTACACGATTGCAGTGCAGAAAAGGATGTTCATCAGTAGAGCGCCCAATTTGGACGGGTGATTTTGCCTGCCAGCTTTCAGAATCCCCAATTCGTCACCGCGGCAGTCGGAAGTCGTGTGTATAGCGTTGAATTGGTAGCGACACTAGGGGCTAAATATTTAGCATAGCATTACGCTGAGGAGACAGACGAATGAGTGCGTTGTCGTTTATTTCGCCAGGCTTTGAGTCGCCGCCGGTGAGCCTATAGAGCGTGCGATTCGATTGCGAACCCTGAAATGCCAGAACACCCGTGTATCTTGCTTCCCAGGTGGTCGAAATTAAGCCGCTCTTCCCCGCTGGGCGTGCCTCATAATCGTATCGTGCTAGCCCTGCAAAACCGCGCAAGAGCAGTAAATACATGACGATAGTTACAGCGCGAGAACAAAACGACGACACAGAGACAAAAAGGACACGAAAGACACTTGTCTCTGTGTCGTTTTGTTCTCGCGCTATAACTATCGTCATGCCATACCAACTAGCCCAAGCTGCCACACTCGATGATGACTCGGGTGCGCTCATCCCTGTGCTTGTACAGCGTCAATGTGTCCTTGAAAAGGGGTACGCAGTTGCACTCAGTGCAGGGCTGAGCAAGAAAACCATCTTTCCTGTTTCTGACATTGTTAGCGTATGGCACGACGTCATGCCATACCAACTAGCCCAAGCTGCCACACTTCTAAGTAAATACAGCTACGTCTGCGAGCGATGGTGCCTCGCGTCTCCGGTTATTCGAAAACGGCAGCAGATGAAACGAAGCGCGCTCGCTGGAACGCGTTGGGGCGAATCTGGGCAGCAAGCGGCGTGCATTTAACGATGCTGGTCTCCTGGCTGCGATGTCAAGGAAGGGCAAGTTTCCCGATCATCGGCGCACATCGTTGCAGGCGAACCACAATGGGTGCTTCTTTTGCGAACCGCTGACCCCGAAACCTTAACAGTCGGGGTGAAAGGAAGAACTCTCCTGAAGAAGCCGATCGAGTATAACGACCCATTAGCGGAAGAAGACAACGGTAAAACTCCCGTGTTGTGCCCAATGCAAGGCTGTCAGTTTTCTTCTTCTTCGGTGGGCGCAAGTATTTGAGCGAGAGGAGAAAGGGGGCCCCTTTTTGCCGAGGGACGGCCGTGCTCAGCTGCTGGCGCCACTTGTGAGCCTCGGGGCGGCGCATTGATATCAATTTGCCGCGCAAAGCGACCTTTTGTGGCGGCCGCGAAGAGGCGGAGCGCTTAATTTCATATGGGGCTGTCCATCTCTGGCCCCGGTGCAGCTCGCTAATGAGACGATGCCCGGGAACCGCGGCCATCAATCAGTATCGTTAGCGCCGTAAATCCTGAGTCGGCGTTGTTTTCTCCCTCGCGGAGTCACGCGCTGGCCGCTACGTCGCGCTCTTTCATGTGCCGCCTCTTTTGTCGCCGAGTCTGGAGCTTGTCATATTAGGGAGGTAAATTTTTCTCTCTCTCGCATACACACGCGCGCGCGCACGCTGACAGAAACTCTCGAGTGACTTCTTGACCACTTGTTTCTTTTAATAAGTTTTTTTTTTCTTTCGATAAAAATTCTTTAAATGCCTTTGGGGTCAGTATCAAACCAACTCCTCGCTTTCTTCCCGCAGATGAACCAGCTGTGTAAGGTGTGTGGAGAGCCCGCCGCTGGATACCACTTCGGCGCCTTCACCTGCGAAGGGTGCAAGGTAAGCACGCTTTGTGCTTCTACATTACGAGAACGCGACTCTCGGCGAAAGTTGGCGGGTTTTCTGACCTGACCCGGCTGGCTTCCGTGCGAGCCGCTGTCGTGGCCGACTGTGTCTGTCGCACGCGCGCACTACTGTTGTGCGCAGGCGAACAATGCTCAATCGTCCGCGCGTAGTCGGCGACACCATCAACGCGGCCGGCAGCGCCCGCTGGTGACGCCAACAATAGGCACCGTTAGCGCTCTGTGGTGTGGCGGGTGACCTGTCACTCACACACGGAGCACATCGGGTGCGTCAGGAGGCTTGTCCAGATCGTGGGAAGACGATGCGTCGTGCCTGCCTCGTCAGCGGCACCTCTGCGGGCGTGTTTGCATTGGCCCTGAAATCGGCACCGAGCGTACTCGCGCCGCTATTGAGGACGACACTCGCTGTGTGGCGCTTTAGACGCGCGCGCGCCCGTGATTCGTTTCGTAGCAACATAGCCACGCACTTGGCCGCTTTGGATAGGTTTTCTCGATTAAAGGGTGCTTTGTCTTTGCAACCGCACAATGGGTGAACTCAACCGAAAATCATTAGCGACAATTAAACTACACCTACAATGACAATCCTGGCGTTCGCGCGGGGGCACTCTGCCACGATTATATTGTTCTGTAATCATGTCTGGGTGAATCTTATGATAAAATAACAGGAAGTGAAGTGCGCCTCGCACTTGTCTTTGAGGGGAGGACACATCAGCAGTAGTCCACACGGGAAGGGATAAGGAGTGATTACTAGTAGATAGGAAAGGATATAGAAGAGCGAGCGGTCTTCGGAGCGAAGAGATCGCGGATCAGACAGCTGTCGAGTGGAAGTCGTCCGAGCGTCATCCTGTAAACTATTTTATCCGTTTCTTTAATACTGATGTGTTCTAGCATACACTTCCAGTCGAAATTCATTGCGTATGTACATGTTCCATATATACATGGCGAGTGATACCGTAAACAGCTGCAGATTAGTCAGTGATTCTATTTATTTTCGCGGTGCAATTTCACACCGTCGGTTTCTCCTTTTTGTTGTGAATACATTTATTCTGTCATTCCGGGAGCTATGCTGGCTGAAACGAATCTCTCTCACTCTGTGTTTCCATATTTGCCCGCTGTGCGGGCGCGTTTACTTTACGTCAACTGTGTTTTTAAGTACACTTGCGGTGCGACTCTGCGCTTCGATCATTAGCACAACTAGAGTCTCTTAGATGCCTCTGACTTTATACGGTCATTTACTGTGTTTCCATTTAGAGTTTTATATGCGTGGATTATCTGGGCTCCGTCTTCAAATCTTTCAAAGGGACTGCGTATACGAGCTTCACGTCTCAGAGGCTGTCATGATTATTGCATACGACCGAAACAAAAAGTGAGATTATTATTATTATTATTATTATTATTATTATTATTATTATTATTATTATTATTATTATTATTAACGCACTTAGTAGCTGACGCGGTATCATTGAAAGGGGCTGGTCCACTGTTCGCCACACTGAGAGGTTACAAAGTGTGTCCCAATGTTCGTAACCTTTCATACTATACTGTGCACGCTCTACGTGCCCCCACCGGCCACAATTTGCATTGCGCTTTGTGCAAGCACACGAATGGGGAACGTGAATCGGGAACTTTACCGAAGGCGATCGCGCGGCATTTCTGGCGCAGCAGTTAGCGCTCACTGAGCAGAGCTTGTTGCTCGCCAGGGAAGACGGCAGGCCTTGTAATTTGTTCTTCGCCGCCGCGTTAAGCGAGAATAGAGCGGCCGGTCGGATCGACTCGTCGTGGTTGCGCAATGCTCACGAATGGCGATAATTTGCGGTGCTGCGCTGTGCCGAGCCGCGGCGCGAATTGCGTGTACGCTCAGGCGGCCCGACTTGCTGCGCGAGCACGCCGTCGGTGGTCCGCGGCCACTGCGTCGTGCTCAAGAGCTGCCCTCTCTCCGAGACCGCAGTGAAGCACACACCACGCGGGCTACCGCCTCCATTGGACGGATGTGTTTATCGCGGGCTGCCCGTACACCACAAATCGCGGCGTGCGCTGCTGGCCACCTGAACAAAGCTGCCCGTGATAGGAATTTCCGGGGAATTACGTAAAGAGGACGCTGAAGTATATATCATTTATATGTAAACGTTAACGTATGAATTAACTAGAAGAGATTTTGATAACGGGCGAAAACATTTCTTTCAAGTGGGCACCCAAAACTGTGTGAGCCTTCAAGATTCGTTTTTTATTCGCTCCGCTGTAAGAGACCAGAAGCTCTTCTCTGAACCCTCCCAGGTTGATGATTTACTTATACAAGAACGTAGTGCTCCTACCACTTTTTGATCAGCATCCTATTTGATTGAATGAGGAGTGGCGGTATACATGAAAAAGTTGCCGTTGAAAGGCCTGCTCATTTCATGATCAGTGGGACCTTTACGGCATTCCCAGAACAAGCTGAAGACAGATTAGCATGTAACTAACTTTTCCCTGAGGTGCGATTGTTGGTAGAGCGAGACCCGTGCGGCTCAAAAGCTTTTCTGACAGGCCTTTTGGTGTCGATGGGCCCTACGCACACCTTACGAGCAGATCAACTCGAGTCGCAGAGCTGGCAGGAGATGCTCTCGTCAATTCGCGAGGTTTCGGGCTGCCAGGTGTCTTAAGCATTGCCGAGCCATTTAAAAAGTAGGAAGCGAGCAATTCATGCGCGCAGTAAAGCCCGTCAAACAAAATTCCCTCGACGTCTAGAGAGGTGTGGTTATAGCACTCGCATGCGCGAATCGACACCGCTAACTGCTACGAGCGGGATAAATCTAAGCGTTTGCGGAGCGTCTGCTGATGCGGCCGGGCCGGTTTTGTTACTGCAAAGGTGGCGCAGCTTCACGAATACCTTTAGAAAGGTCTTCAGCAGAGCATCGCCACAGTTCTCGTATCGGCCGGTGGTGCGAGGTCAAAGCGAGCTCTTCATCGACGATCGCTTCACGGCCTCTCTCCCACACGGATCGACAGCTTGGTCGGGGAACGTTCCAGTGGAGAACGCGCGCCGCTGAAAAAGCTGGGTCTTACTTTCCTTGTTCGAGGTCTCAAATACGAGAAACATATGGACTATACGCATGTCTCGCGCTGCAGTGTGCTCAGTAAACTGCGTGCGCAATTCTTTTTTTTTTTTCTCGTTCAGGATTTGATTTCTGTAGTTACGCTCATAAAAGTTCAATTATTAGGAAACAAACTAGAGCCGTTGGGCAAAGTCGGAACAAATTTCCTGTTACGACTTTTTAAATGAGTGAGAGCGTGTCCCAGTTCTGACAAGTAAGCGTATATCTTTAGCGCGAGAAGGATGTTTTCTCATCGTTTAGTTTTTCTAAAGAACGATTACTATAGCAACTAGTATCATTACACATTACCGCAATGTGATGAAATCGCTGCACACGCATGTACGCGGCGATTCGCTTCTATATACCGCGAGCACATGTTCACGAGCGCTGCAGGAATCGCATGGTAATTAGATGCTGGCACCAGAGCGTTAAAGTCTTGACCTCTGTGTAGGGAGGGTTGCCTTCTGTGTAAGCTTCGCGAGCTGTTTTGCAAACTCCGCCGTGTTACGATAGGCGGCTGTCACTGCCTCGGCCAGTTCACCGTGTGGCAACACATTTGTGCAAGGCGAGAGTGTGTACAGCGCGATTAGATCCACGCTGACGGTGTCCATGCAGGATCGAGGGCGACCCCGGCCGAGATGCGTCCCTCCCGATTCGCCAAGGAGCATCCGCGGTGAGGCTCGCGGCGAGCAGCTCGAAAATCTAGGTCTAATCATTAAAAGAGCGGACTGGTTCGGCTCGCCGCGGTCGCGTTCCTGCGTGCCTGCCATAGGTCACAGTGTTCGGGGTGAAAGCGAAGCCTTCCTGCTCGCCTTGGTGCCGCCTCTCTGGAACGTCCATTTCCATATTCCATTATACCTGCGCGAGCTCTCTCTGAATGGACGGCACGTGCAGTGTGGGAATCAATTTCATCGAGCGCCCTTTGGTGTCTCCACGTTGCGTGTTGCAGCTTCAGCCTGCAGGGGCGTTTGCGCACATTTCATGTCGCCTTCGGGACAACAGTGGCGACTGTAACAGAGTACGCGGCACGCCTAACAGGCTCCGTGAATGAACTCGGCGCAACGCTAAGAAAACGTAGCGTTCGTGCGCGTAACACTGCAGTTTGACGGAGATGAGTCAAGTAAACCAGTAAACCTAAAACAAGGAGGAAAGAATACCATGGCCTTATATTCCTCGCTAAATGCTTGCAGTGGATTCCGGTGTTTTCCTTGGGCCCCTACCCCGTCCTATCAACGCTACACATCATTAATGATGATAATGTAGAAATGTCACCTCGGCAGTGTGTCAGCGAGGTAACGCATTGGGATTAGCTGGTCTTCCGATGACCAAACATTTTGTCGAAAAGTGCGGCCTGATGACCACGCTGATGACCCTGTAATAACGTCATCCAAGGAATACAGAGATGAATTCTTATTTTCCAAGACGAACAAGCTGAATGCACCGTCCAAGTCTTCGTCTGGGCAAGCTTTCGAGAACTGGCAAAATTTCGTTCCAAATGAATTATTTCGAATGTTGTTGCAGCTCACAGCGCATAAGATTGTGTTGTTAGAACGCTTAACCAAACAGAGGTTTCATGCACACCTGACGTGAGGGTAAGGGAGGGCGTTGCGATTTGAAAAAAAAAAAAAAAGGCGTTGCTTATTCCTCGTATATTGGTCCTGTTGAAAGGGTATTTGACCTAAGAAGTATGGCAGCTTAGGCTAATTGGTATGGTATGATGATACAGAGTCCTTCGTGTCCTTCTTGTCTCTGTGTCGTCGTTTTACTCTCGCGCTATAACTATCGTCTTGACCTAAGGTTACGAAGAACATGTCGATTTCTGAAATCCGGGCGCAGAATCTGAAATATGTTTCGTTGTGTACGGTTATGTTTAAAACATGGTGTGCGCGTGGGGTGCCTTAAAGAA